GCAATATTATTAAGCTAAACAGCTAAAGGATGATAATTTTAAATGCAAAATAAAAATCATGTTTATAAAATTAACAATCGACTGAACATATTTATAGAAAATGATATATGGAAAAGATGTCCTTTTTTAATTATGCTGAATGTGATAATTATGTCGAAAGCTGCATATCTATTCGTATCATATTGAACAATTACATGTTTTTCAGCAAAATTACATTACATGGCACCTGATCCCACCTCTATTGTTTTGGAGGTCCGTGTTTGCTCTGCTCCTATTTTATATTGTTTAATGGACTTTTGAGCTTGAATATTGTTCGTTATCTCCACATATATATTTCATTATAAAGAGCGATTACTCTACCTTAGTCAGTATATATTTTCCTCACTCCAGCTGGATTGGAATGGAAAATTAAACAATAAAATGCTTTCTTTGTTTGTTAGCATGGGAATTAATGTTGCAGTTGTTGAAGAAAAAATGCATATAATGCAATTTTTTCTGCAATTGCTACAACTTCAATTCCCATACTAACAAAGAAAAAAAAAGACATTTTATTGTTTATATTTTTATCTTTTAAAAAAATCAACTAAAAAGGATTAAGTAGATTAAATATTGTATTATTGGTATGTTGCGATTAGTAAATTCATTTTTATATTTGGTTTGGGAAAATGCCGTAAACTTTTGTCGAAATGAAAGGTAACAAATCCATCATTTAAATGTGCTTTTGAGACGTCTTATATGTGTGATTTTAGATAGTGTCTAGAAGAAAAAAATTACGACTCCCTCTTCTAAACTTTAAGAGTAATGACCCTCTTCTCTAAATTTCACAATTTTTTTTTAAACTTCCCAATACTGATTTTGATCAAGACCTATAGCATTAGATTCAAATGGGAAAAAGTATGAGGTATGAAGAAGTGCTTTTTTTTTCAGAAATGGTTTTATGTCGGACCATGAAATGAAATTTTTACACAGAGAATAGGAAAGGCAATAATTTATTATCACAACATAAAATTAAAAATATGAGGCGTGTATGAAAAAAAAAACTTTAGTGCCATACCTATTATTTTCATATTTGAATTTTTTTGCATTTTTAAAACTGTTCATAGAAAGATTAATATGCTTCAATTTGTAGGGGTTAAAATGTGTTTTATGTCTAATGTAATAAAATAACATGATAAAATATAAAGGCAAAAAAAGTTAATGTCTCCTTCCTATGTAGGATTTGATTGAATTGACTTATATTCAAAGGTTTCCATGACTTAATTCTAGTAAGACAAACTGTGGGTAATAATAGCATTCTTTACTTGGAAAGTTATCTTTTATTAAAGGGACGGTTAAATTTTAATTAAATTTTAATTCAAAATCATAATTAATTTGAACAAAATTGAAGACAATGATATATATTTTCCCTAAAATTATTATTTTAAGTATCAATATACATGTAAGTCTCCGATTATTGCACCTTCATGATCAAGATTTGCATTAAGACGTGTAACTTAGTAGTCATAAACTGTAGCTCGTGTGTAAAATGTAGATTGCCTGACGACACTTTTAATTTTCTGCACAAAGGATGTGTTTTTTTTTTTTTTTTTTTTTTTTTTTTTTTTTTTTTTTGTTATTTCTAATTTTGCAGCTAAATTAATGATGGCTTCTGACGCAAACAATGAATTTAGATAGTACACAACTCTGACATGGATGTTACTTGATGATGATATTTATTGCAGCATCATTCATATTTTAAAGTATGTTCTTTACTGAATGACATTTCCTGATGTACAGCTGTTGATTTGGTGCAATGTATGTACTCATCTGAATAAAGTATGACTCATTTTATATGAAGAGATAGGAATGGTGATAGAGTTCAAAATATGAAAGATATGTAATTGAATTAAATAGTTACCAAAGATTTCAAGGTATCCTTCATGGTCCTTCAGTTTACGCTAGTATTTACAAATGTCAAGACAACTACTCACAAATGATGAAGTCTGGTATATTCAGGTAGAAATACTTTTAAGCATACATGTATTATTAGATAAGACTGACACAGCTGTTTCCCTAGTTCCAACCTATCCAATGGATGATCATTATTCGATTTACCTACTTAAGTTGAAATAAAAGACACAGCGTCTTCCACATCTATTTGATATTTGGATTGGTAACTACACAAAGACAAACAAACAGCTGAACTTCATGAAAAACGTGATGACTTCAGTTTTTCTATCATTTCCCTTATTTAAGTACCAATATTACCATTATCACATGCACTTCGTTTTTATGTCTCTCTGTTGATTCCATACATAAAGGAATGTTCTGCGTATGAAGAAAATTCTTAATCGAAGCAAACTATTCACAAATAAGTTGATGATGCAATGTTTTTAATAATCGTTTTGAAAAGGTCAATAAAAGTCCATATTTGGATTCTTCGTCACCAGAATACAGGCTTGGATCTGTAATTATGATATTGCAAATCAAATATTTCTTAAACAGCCATGTTTTAAGGAAGTGAATACTGCTCAAGCAACCCGTTTGTTCCTTAATGTTCAATTTGCCAAGAGAGAAATTGACGCAGTAAATATTAGTAATATTCTTAATCACAAAAGGGTCTAATATTTTATCATATTTCATGTTGAAGCCCACACTTTTGTATTTCTTATAGATATACATCGACCATTGCTTCCAAACTTTTTAATTGCCAAAAAAAAAATCTGCATTCCCTAGATATCGAACATCCGAGACATAATCCTCCTACGTGTTCATGTTCTTCTTCACCCTACAACTATAGTGCTGGTGACGTAAACATAGTTAATTATGAGGACTTTCCATCGTCAACTTCCCTTATTTGTGTAATAATATTCTGTTAGTGTTTATGTCTCCTAACTCATTCGATACTCAAGAACATGCCTCTGAGTACGATCAATTTCTAAACCGAGGCAGGCTACCTACAGAAAAGTTGATGTTACAGGGATTTCAATACCTCGTTTAAAGTCAGCATTTCCTAAATTCTGACCTTTTAGCAAATATAACTTATCATTGGGTCATGTTTGGCTGACTTGTTTCATACCAATTGTTGGGCCTTTGTTTTTATACTAAATTTGACAATGGAATGTACCGTTTTCTTGATCAATCAATACATAGGGATCGCGGCGGGTGTGACCGGTCAGTAGGGGATGCTTACTCCTCCTTGGCACTTGATCCCATCTCTGGTATTTCCGGGGGTCCGTGTTTATGCCCTGCTCACAGATTTTTATTGTTTGTAGATTTTTTGAGCTTGATCATTATCTTCACCTGGAGACCGTTCCTTCGGATGAGATCGTACAAACCGAGGTCCAGTGTCGCAGTAGGTGTTGGCACGTAGAAGATCCCTCACTGCTCAATGGCCATGAGAGCTCTTCACCGGCAAGTGGTGGCGTCTCCATACGAGTAAAAAATTCTCGAGAGAGACGTTAAATAACAAACAAACAAACCGGTCGACAAGGGATGGCAACTCCTCCTAACACCTGACCCCATTGCTGTATTTTTGATATTTCCATTCGTTGATTACTCCGCCTAGATCAGCTATCCGTATGCCTGGCCATGGCTTGTTCTGTGGAAACTGGCTAATATAAAATATTTAATTGGATATTCTATAAATTTAGTCAAAGAATGATAAAATTCGATATTAATGGTTAAATCATATTTCATACGTTATGATTAAGTAGGTGATAAGTTTCTTATACTTCACACGAGAACCTGAAGGAAATGCCTATGAATTCAGTTACTGGGGAAAAGAGGAAATTATTTGTGAATCATACGTGTCATCCATTTACTATAACACTTTGTTGTCTGTTTAATAGTTTTCACATCCGATGAAGGTTTAACGTGGAGTCTTCTCATTATTCATCACATTCATAATGTGTCAAGTCCATTATAGTACACGTAATTTCATATCACGGTGTGTGTAACGTGGAGCTGCGTATATTACAACGCACTTTGATTTTTTTTTTTTTTTTTTTTTTTTTTTTGTAAAGCTACTTTTGCCAAAATATAGTCAGTTGGCTATTGTTGCTTAGATCAGCGATATGGCCCCTGATCCTCTCTTCTTAAATAGAATAGGGTGCTTTTTTTTCCAGGAAGGCTTATCTGAATTTTTACATATATTTAATGTTAGAAAGTATTTCAATGTCATACCAATCATGTAAATACGTATATTTGAGTAGTAAAGATAAAAAGTTGGGCTGAAGGACCTTCTACCTGCCTTCTCGTCGTTCTCGATGAGGGTAGATCAATTAATAAGTTTTTCGAAAGTAATACATGTATAACAAAATTATGCTGTCTATTACTAAAATCTAAGTCCAGAATTTTTGTTCTATACATATTTTTTCAAAGCGCGTTGTCTGCATGGTAAAAAAATGATGATGTACACTCAACGCAATTTGAAAAAAAAGAAAAAAAAAAAAAAAGAAGTCGACTTTTTTTTTACAGGGCGTTGATTTTTCCCAATTTTAACGCACTTTGAAAAAAAAATTAAAAGAGCGTAATTTTTTCAAAGTGCGTGGCCACATGCGTATTACTTGCATTGATTTCTTGGCTTGTTTATGCATTTACATTCAAAATTCTGCCTTTTTGCATTGATAAAAATTGGGATTTCCACTTGTTGCTTTTTTATTATTTTTTTTAAAGACGGATTGTTTCTAGGGGTTTGCATAAGAATTCTCTACGTAAAAATGCACATTAACTCAGTATTTATTGTTGTATACTTAAGTTTCATTTTTTTTTCACCAAAAAATTGACAGTGTTAGTTTACATTTTTGTAAATCTTTTCCAAGCATGACTTTTAGGAGTTTATAATAAATCATTTTTTTTAAAGAATAAAAAGACAGAGTGACAGGATGTAAATCGTCTAGTGGTAGAACGGTTGCGTGATGTTCGGGTTCGATTCTCTTTCCGGAAGCTGAAACAAAACTATGACTTCAACATAGGTATTGACTGTTCCTTTGCTAATTGCCCGACATTAAAAGTAAAAGTCAAGAGCTGGCATCATTTCCATTTAAGGCCTTCTCGAGTTCCTGCAGTCTAGTCTTGACCCCAGCACAGTCCTTCTCGGCTGTCTTGAGTCTATCAGCCAGTGTCTTCTTCTCATTCTCACTCTTACGCAGCTGTTGATTGAGCTCCTCTAACCTCTTGGTCCACATTCCCTCCGAGTCACTCTGAATTACAAGATGTTTAACATGTGTATCACAACTTTTGTACAGGGAAAGAAGTCGAATCCCTCACATTCTTTTACCATGAATGCACTGGTGCAATTTTTTTTTTAATTTAACTTTATAAAATCATCTTTTCTTTTGTTGATGAAGCTCAAATACAAAAAGTTTTATGCCAATACATACAGGTGGATAAAAAATCAGGTATAAAACAGTACAATACTCTACACAAGGGTACAGCTTCCTACCTCTGTTCCTTTGAGTTTTTTAATCTCTTCCTCCAGCTTGGAACATTTAGACATTGCAGCACTTTTGGCCTTCTCTGCCGAGTTAAGCTTGATCACATTGTTAGACAATTCATTTTCCATGATAGAAACTTTCTGACGAAGGCTGTTAAATTCTGCAGGTGGGATTGCTTCAGCTCTGTAGTGTCAAAGGAAAAAAATGTATAAATAAAGTTCAATCCCCATCCCCATTCCTCACCCAAAATAAATCTACTCAATTATACTTTTATATTATGCTGAACAGAAAAAAAGTATAATTTGAAAAGGTTGTTCAAAGAGGGTTGAGCCTTTTACAAACCGAAGTCCAGTGTCAAAGATGGCGTTAGCATGATTTACTACCGTTAAGCTCAATTCATTTAGTCACAATATGAGGCACTTCTCCAAAGGTAGGAGATATGTCTGTATTAAGAGTGAAAAATTCTCGAATGGGATGTTAAACAACATACAATCATTAATCAGTAACTTGACCATCGTAAAAGGTGCTTCAGTCTGTTGTCTACAGCATGGGATGAAGCTTTTACAGTTTTATCAAAGACATCTGCTTCATCTATACAGAGAACTATATATGATTAATTCAGACGGTTATTGAAAACAGAAATAAAACAAACAATATTATTTTCTAACCTAAAATTGAATTTCGAACGACAAAGATTTCAGATTTCTTTTCATTAAGAAATCCACTGTCACTTCACTACAAATGTCTAGTTATTCAAGTTAGTTGGGAAGCTTGTTGTCAAATAATTACACTTAACTGACATAGGACATCAAATCAGACTGTATCTACGTTCTAAAGAGTATGATTATGTTATCATGTGACTGATGTGTCATCGAATGATTGATTTATATCCGGTTTTCCTTATCATACTCAGAATTTCAATTGTCTCATAATGGGGCAAGACTTTTCATTTTGGAATTTGTATATTGTTGTTTCTTGTCACTTGTGCAACAGTAAATGATAGGTTATACAGAGGTCACAAAAATGGTCAGACAATATGTCAATTTCCGAATTTTCTTACTTTTGTTCAAATTCTCAGATTTTTAAAGGCATATTTTGTTTTAGAAACTATCGATTGCTAGGTTGCCTATCTAGTAAAGTTAGATATTAAATGTACTAGTATCAAATACATTTTGTGAATGAAAATCTAAGATAGGTTAGCATGCCTTTGTACACTTTGGATAAAAAATATCTGCTGCATTTAAACCCAGCATCTTTTGTGACACGACCTTGTGTGTTTTACTTTGAGGGCTTCAGTTCAAGAACTACGATACAAAACACTTTTCGGTGGGTATTTCTCATGCAAATGAAGAAAACTGTACAACAACTTCGACACAGAACAGTTTTTTTAGTGATGATGGCAAAATGTAACCGTGTCCAAGACTACAAATGCTGATCGTCAATAGAATTAACGTATAGTTTTTTGGAAATGATGACAATAACAGTTATGAACGATTCCAGAATTGAGACCTGCATGCTTTTTCGGTGGTTTATTGTGCCCCCTCTTTCCTCGGTTTCGAGCCATTTCATCAATAACGATAAATTACAAGACATTCCCCTAAAACACTTTCTTTGAAATACTTTTTGCCTTAAATTCATTTTCCAAATCATTTTATTCTACAAAATATTTTGCAATTCGATTTAGATAATCAATATAATAAAAGAGATGAATTAAATTGTCAGACATTACCCTATTTACCCCTAAATGCATTTCAGAAGAAAGATTTTTGCGTTAAAAACATTGTCAACATCGTTTTATTTTGCATGAAATTCATTATTTAATTATAAAAATGCGAGGAAACAGCCACTAAGTAAAAAATCTAAACGAAAGCGGGGAAACAGTATTTATGAAAAGCATATATCGTAATAGAAATAATCCAGTTATTATAATTTTAATCCTAAATTCATATGTAAATTAGCGTGGTTGTAGGAAAGGTCGTGTCACAAGTCATTTAGAATACTTGTTTATAATCTAGGTCGGGGCACGGCTTGTGCTAGTGCTCTAGCCTAAAGCCCCGCCCTGTAGCTCTCATACAATATGAATCTCGTACTCTAAAAATTACTTATAATATTAATTGTAAATGATCATAATTTAAACCGGATGTTGATTTTAATATCAAATTCGGCTGCTATGTCCCTTGTCCTTTCTCATCAAACTAAAAATTTATCACTGACGAGTATTGTGCAAAATGTGTAAGCGTAGATAAAAGATTTTAAAAACTGATTTGCTTTTCCTCGTATAAAACACATGCATTGTTTAAATTATGTAGTGAATTTCAAGCAGCCTTGTTCAAAGACAAGAAAATTAGATATAAATTGAAACACGCCAAAGCACACCATGACTTTGAATTAAAACACGAAGTGAAAAATTAGAAACGTTTGTTTTCGCAAGGTTTTGAATCCTTTGCCTCTTCAAAGGTCGAATATGTTCAATGTTTTGTTAACTGCAATACATACAAATGAATGTTTCATCTTGGGGAAAACGTGTAGTAAAGGGCGCCCACCTAAAGATATCGATTGTGGGGGGTTTTTTCTTAACACAGGAGTAAAGTATAATTGCATTTATCAAAAGATTTCTAGTGGAGAAGTAGATTTCATTTCAGAAGTCTTACTTTATAACTACATATAATGATAAAACCTCCCTACTTCATTATCATCTATTCTAGTGAACATTTTGCCTGATTGATTAGAGGGTAATCACACATTCAGAGAGAGAATGCAAACCTCTAGATTATTGGTTCTTGTTTAAAGTCGGGGTTTCATTGACCTTGAATCGATCTTAATATAAAAACAACAATTAGGTTTAATGAGGTCGATGGAGGTAGTGCAGAAAGGTGAATGTTTTGAAAGCAATGAAGATTTAATAAAATCCTTTATAATTCGTGATCATATTCCTTAATAAACCTGTGGAAATACTACTAATATGGGCTCATATTGGTTCAGGATACGAAATGAGTAAATTCAGAGCCTCCTGAGTAAAAATACATTTTTAGTTTACTACATTGTCTGAGAAATTAATTTTATTTAAAAATTCTGTGTACAGACAAAAAAGCTTATAATATATGCGTTGAAATAAGATTTTCTCTCTAATAAGCTTAAGTGTATAACCTACATAACTCCTTGGATGTTTTCCACAATCCAGAAGCACGACCTCCTGCTTTGCTGCCAGTGAAGGAAAAATAATCCGAGTCTGGTAAGTAATCGCCATATCTGTGAGCAGGGAACCCCCGGAAATTCCAGCGATGGGATCAGATGCCTAAGAGGAGTAGGTATTCCCTGTCGACCGGTCACACCCGCCGTGAGCTCTATGTATTGATCAGGTAAACGGAACATTCCATAGTCAAATTCAGTATAAAAACAAAGGCCTTACAATTGGTATGAAACACGTCAGCCATAATACGAACCAATAATAAGTTATATTTGCTAATAAGGTCATTATATATAACGACCGTAGAATTTACGAAATGCTAACTTTAAACGAGGTTTGTGAAATCTCTGTTACCTCAACTTATCTGTTAGTAGCCTGCCTTTGTTCATAAATTGATCGTATTCAGAGCTCGAGCATATTCTTGAGTATCAGATAAGTTGGGAGACATCATATGCAGGTGATAGCGGAAAATTACTACATAGATAAGGAAACATGGCGATGGAAAAGCTAAGGACATCTCGTTATACAGTTTGGTCGTTAATTCTGGCAGACTCTGAGGGTTCTATTATTTCAAGTTCACTGGGATATATAGTTTCGACATATGAATGGAAGTAACTATTTTAAATTCTTAATCTGCTGAGAAACTAAAGTGTCAGCCAAAATGTAAAGTATGCCAAACTCGTATATTTTTAATTAACATCATACAATTTATAAAGATTCAGTACATATTATATTTCATAATAATTAAAAACTTAAAACCTCGTTTATAGTACATGTAGATTACTTGATTTATTTTGTAATTATTTAATTGATGATTTCTATCAAAAGTATTTCACTGAATTGTATTGTAAAAAAGTGACGGTAATTCTTTTGTTAGAGTTATAAGACTTTTAACTTGTAGAAGAATAGTTTTTCCGTTTAAAATAATGTAAATTAGATCAATTAATTTTGAACACTAAATAAATCTTAAAGATTTAACTCTAGTTATTCAAAAATACTTCTTTCTTGTTTTTCTTTAATATTTAGTTTTTTTATATATTAATATTTAATTGCAGTCATCAAAATATATTTCTTTTAAATCTAAAAATATCCGATGTTAATTTTGACTGTGCTATTTTTAATTCTAGAGAAATATATTTTGACGTAGATAGAACTATTTTATTTTAAATTTACAACCCATTAATTCAATTACATATCGCACTAATACCTTCATAACTCTATAATCTACAACAATGGCAATATGTGAAGGTCTTACAGTTGACTTTTTATGTACGTTAAATGTTCCTAGAGGATATATGCAGTTTTTGGTGAAAAAGTAGAAAAGAACCTCTTTCATTATCAATCTCATCAAGTTATCAATCTCATAAATCCTATAAATAATACAAATTTTAAACGGGGAGAGAATTACAGACCCCTGGAAAGTACAGATCCGGGATCAGGTGTCTATATAGCTAGGAGGATTAACATTCCTCGTGGATCGGTCACACTCGCCGTGAGTACTCTGTATTAATCAGGTAGACGGTGTAATCCGTAGTTAAAATAAGTATGTAAACTAAAGCTTTACAATTAGTATGATTCATGTAAGTTAAATAACCTTTGTGTTGTGTGTGCAAATAAGGTCACCATTTAAATGAAATTTTCAGCTAGCGGACCCTAACTTGGAGGTGTCTTTATGGTCAAGGGCTCTGTGTTTTCAACCAAACATTTTGTAATTTTCTCTCTTAACTGGCACTAACAAGTTCTTGTGTTTGTTTTATGTACATGTTGGATTAACTTTCTCATGTTTTATGTTGCACTGGATGATTATCTGCTTTATTCACGTTTCCTTTGTATTTATATTTTTGTTTACACCACAGTTTAGCTAACGAAGTATTTACTATCTACATGTATTTATGTTTATCTTGTCTCTGTGATATCTGCGACAATGGATAACAGAACAGATAAACCTGTTTATTTCAAAAACAGTGAATTACTTCCTGAAAACCAAAAT